TAAACAAAGAAGTTCTTACTAGAAGCTGTATTGTATTGTATTCCCAGAAATACAGCACATCTGACTATGTACACATCATATTTTACAAAGAACTGAGAAGTTTTAATAGGAGAATTACATGAAAGACAACAATGTATCAAATTATTCTGAGTAAATAGGAGCTAAATAAAATGGAGAACAGGATATTTTCCCCTTAAATAAAAAGCAGGTTAGAAAATCTTTTAGCTGCCAACTATTAATTAATGTAAAAAAAATTATCTTAAAACCATATGGTAATGAATTTGTTCCAATGAGTTAGCACTCATACAGCAATTACTTGATATATCTGGATGGCAAAAGTAAGAAGCAAATGTAACAAAGATGTTATTGATTTAACATGATGACCATACAATTTGGAAGATAACCATGAAAACTGACAATTAGCAGTAATTATGTGTATTGTTTAAAATGACTTAACAGTAGATGTTGGGAAAAAGACGGAAAGTTGTATTGCTTTACTTATTAACCTGGCAAGAAAAGAGCAAAGATGGTGCTAAATTGCTCACTGAAAAGACTGAACATATTCTTTCTCAGACAAATTCATTTCCTTAAATTTCATAATAAGTACAATTTCTGTCTTATGGATGTGTAAACTAAACCACAGAATGGTAGGTAGTCATGCCAGATCAGACCCAGTGAAGAAATGGAGAGGTCTGGAATCAAGGGTTCTACATCTGCTTTTGGTACTGAATCAGCGTACACAGAATGTTGCATTCCTGGTTACAGCACATAGGAACAATATGACTTGAAGATTATATACTGATTTTGTGGCAAGCATTAAAAACTGATGGAATCAGAAAGGAGAAAGTGTTTTCAGGGCTGAGAATCTATAAAAAGTTTTCTTCCGTGATAAACAGATCAGCTAAATTCCAGAATGGATTTGTGCAATAAGTTTGACAGAACAAAATTACAAAACAGAAAAACAGGCCTTTTTTTTATTTGTTTCACGGGGTAAGAAATTATTAGTAATATGGAAAATAGGAATATCAATAATATGAACGAGAAAAATACAGTAGGTATTAGTTTCTTTAAACCTGATATGAATAACCTAAGAGACAAGAGAATAACCTAATTGTCAATAAAATTCTGTGCTGCTGAAAACAGGTAAAACATAGTTTCTTTAGAATAGATCATGTTGACTGATTGTGTCTGTCTAATCATATTTGCATGCTGAGTAGGCTAATTATTGTGCACCCAGGCCCAGATTCTATGATTGGATCTGTGCATATAGACCTCTGTCCTTGCTTGAAGTTCTATTTAATTAAATTACATCATATACCTCTTTAAAGACCATCGTTCAGTTGTCCTTATATATGTCCTTATAAAAGAGGCAGCTGAAACACAACACAACCATTCAACACAATCACTCACACCTAGTTTATAGACAGCACAACTGCACCAACTTCCCTAAAGTTGCAAGAAACATGAATTTGACATGGATCAAGAAGAATGCAATTTAAAGAAACCAGAAAAGGAGAAAAAGGAACAGACACAGCCAATCAAGGAAGCAAGCAGAAAAGAAAAGAATGAGTAAAATAAGTGGACCAATTAAAAAAAAACAACACTAAAAGTGTCACAGGGAAAGTAGGAATATAACTCTCAAAGCCCAAGTTTTCTTCCTTGAAGTATTTTCCCTCACATTTATCTTTATCTGTCTCTTTCCCCTTTGCTCCTTCCCTCCCAGGAAGGGAATGTTTAAATTTTTCTTCCTTTCTGTTGTTCCCTGCATGTGTTAACAACCAGCTTGCAGACCCTATCACAAAGGATTTATTTTCTTTTTCTATTACCACGATCTATCAAAATTTCTATTGGCTTTGTGAATTGCAGTTGGAAATTAATTTAAAAGCATTCTTCATCGGCAGCAGGATTAGATTATTGGCGAAACACACTTATTTCTATTTTTATAGTATACAGACCATTTACAGGAGAACCGTCATAGTATTTTTAAATTACATTGTATATTTAAATTGTAACAAGAAACATGTGGGCCAAGGAAGGGATGAAACTGTAAGGCACTTTTCACAATCTGACCTCTAAAGAAAAGATATTTCAAAAGATTAAAAAATTATTAATTTTTATTTATATGAAAAATGTATACAATTACTAACATATATATTCTAATATATTGAAAATGTATTAGTATATTCTCATATGTGTGTATGTATATTCTAACATTAGAATATATCTATTAGCCTATATATTAGAATACATATATATTCACACATATATTCTCCCCTCCTTTTCTCATCATAACTGATTCAAATATCATCAATTCTGAGTCTGGTGTTAACGACTAAAATTAATTTTTTCAAATGAATACTCACCAAAGTACTTCTAATCTTACTTCAGCTGTCAATATGCTGGGTGGGGTTTTTTGATCATGGTGATTTGTCTCGCTCCTGTATTTCATGGGGGAACAGAAAAGCAAACCTTTAAACACTCCTATATTCTTAACAAAATCTACTGTTTTCTAGAACTTGCTCTTGCAAATTGACCAATTAAATCAAACAACACTGTCATAACCTCATTATTCACAAGTGATGATAACCTTTACACCGAAACCTGGTCTAAGGTGGAAACCATATGAAACAACAACATTCTCACAATTTCCACTTGAGATCACAACTTTTCCCAGGTCAGAGAATTCAGGCTGAGTTTAAGGGACATAAGAGGTTGTGCTATCAAACCACAAAAACTTGGAGGTACACAGGGGAAATGAAATTTCCCTCTCTCTACAAGATGCTTTTCTTGCCTCCTGCCCTAACAGTCCCGAACTAGAAACACAGCATACAGACACACTTTTTAAGGGACCAACCTGGTTGACAAATTACCTAGTTTTTTTTAAGGTCAGGCTAATTCCCCAATACGGGGTATGGGCTGTCCACACTGGCAGCCGTGATAGCAAAGACAGACTGGTATGCTACCAAGTTCGGGGGGAAAAAAGGGAGAAAAAGGATGAGAGACAGCGGTGTCTTGCCACCGTAGAATTCATAACCTTCAGCTGAAAAAGTTTCACTCTTTTTTCAGATAACAGGACTCCCGGCCTACAGCCTATGAGCAAGCCCAGTCCCCCATTTTGGTGCGTACGTTCCATGAACTCCAAAGCACCCATTTTCCTGGGCGCTTCTGGATGCAGGCGGGGATCGGGCCAAGCGCTTGGTGAACTTGCTGCCTACCAGCTTCTCCGCCAGCCTTTCCACTTGTCCTCCGCCCAGCAGGACTCAAAAGATGTCCTGTCACATTCAGCGCCGATACCCTCTGGCGGGTGATGGGACACGGATGATCGGTGTCATCTGCCAGGAGGGGCTTGCCGTTTGCTCACCAAATAGATTCCCGTTGCCTGAAGGGAGGGAGGGGGGGATTGTAATCACCAACAGCCCGTGTGCCGGGCTAAGTCTCGCACGGAGCGAACTCCGGGAGGTGCAAACAGGTAACAAATCCCATTGTTTCCCGTGAAGGACGGTGTCATGCGCTGCGATTGTGTTAGGCACTGAACAAATAACCTACGCAAGCCTTTTCCCACTTTGTGTCAAAGGCTTCACATTGTCAGGGCAGCGACCTGCAAACGGCTTCCGAAAGCACACGGCTCTGCCCCTCTCCGGACACCGCGGTGTCTTCGCTACCTTTCAGCTTTTACTTTCAGGTGACTTTGTGCATCGGCCAAATAAGCGACCGACACACTCTGCCACGCTTCGAACGAAGCCACCTCCCGCGCGCACTAATCCTTCCCGCTCCAGGCAGGGGTTTAGCAGAGACCCATGGGC